ATGTCTCTGTTATCTAAAAAGTAATGGGTTGTAAACTAAAGCATGTAAACCCAGTCGTAATTTGTATGACCGTTACTGCCCGTTACTGTCACTCCCTTGCATTATAAAAGTGGCTGAAAAAGGTAGATACGTTAAATTCAAATTTTGAAGAATATAATTTACAGAATATTCTGCAAGGGTATATCAACTTCGGCTCCGCCCGAAGTTAACTTTCCTTTCTTGTTTCAATTTATAGTTTGACAGGATACCAATATTATATATGGTCTAAATGAATCATAGTTTGTTTTGTTGTTTTACCAATTAGCTTTTCAAATTTATAAAGATTATATTAACAACCCGCAGTTGGGTTTGATTGGGTTGAAAATCCTATTAGAGACAAAAGATGCAGCTATATCCTTTTAAACTTGAAAATTAGTAATTGAAAAACAAAGGACTTTAAACCTTGTTTTTATTTAAAGACAACTAAACAAATAACACCATTACATAGGCTTGTATGTTCTCCATCCCTCGCAGCTTTAACCAAAGGCTGTAACCTCTCGAAATACGATCGCTAATCATCGCATTTGGCCTGGCATAATAACCAAATTTACAAATTAGAGAGCCCAGTGGATTGCCCACTACGAATCAGACATGAAAATGGTAAAAATATTGGACATATGGGCCGGGACACTCACACACACACCCACACACCCGATTCGAGCTCCTCCTCCAAGCCAAATGCTAATTTGAGTGCTCCACATTTTCCGAGGAGGGTGGCTGCGGGGGAGCCGAAATTTGGATTTGTAATTGGAATCAACGGACGGGTGATTGGATGATGGACTCAACAGGACAGTGTCAGCTCCCAAGGGTCTCGGGTGATTGGGGATGTTGGATTTTGGATGGTGGCCGGGCCTATAAGTAGGCTAGCATTGCCATTGATTTTAAAGGATCTCGCTGCACCCGAATCCATGCAAATTGGATGGATGTGTGGGTGGGTGGGCGGTTGGCATATGTAGGGGGTGGAGCTGATGGAATCGGACAAACGGATGCGTAATGTCGCCACTGTAAATGAATGAGTCGAACTCTACTCCGTGTGTGTGTGGTGTGCGTGCATTGAATGCGGCTTGTTTTACACTCGAACGCATTTGAATACGTTGCTAATGGGATTTTGATGATGACAATGTTGCCGTCTGTCCCTCCCCGACTTCGACTCGGTGTACTTTCTGTTTTCTGTGTTCTGTCCTCTGTTCTCTGTCGAAATGTCGCTTCAAAAAAGGAGTCCCATCCTTTGGGATCCGTGGAGAAACTTTAACCGCACTGAAGTGCCTCAACTTGTTCTTAAACAGTTTGAATGGCCGTCCGACCGGCATTATGTCGCTCTAATGCGTACAAGTACATAATGGCGAGTACACACACAGAGACACCCACAGCCGGAGCAACCCCTTCCCAGCCTGCCCATCCAATTACCACCCCGCAACATGGCTTTCGACCCAGGGCCGGATGACGACAGCAGTCCAACAACACGGACACGTCAAGCAGCGGCAACATAATGTGCCATTCACTTCCGTTCCGGCGGAGGTCCCCAAAGAACGGCAAAAGATTCAACGGGCCACCGCCTCCCCCTCCTCCCTGTTCCGCCCCTGCAAAGGTCCTTTTTTGCCAGGACACCTACACAGGCGCAGAGACAGGCGGACTACATAAGCAAACGCCTGTTCCTGTCACTGCTCCCGGAAAACCGCTCCTGCGTCCACCGCTGCCACATTTGCGGTTACGTTTTCATGCCAGTGCGCGCCATTGCCACACAGACACACACGCACACCGGCGCAGGAATTACAGGAGCCACCCCCCGTCCTCGCCACCCCTAACCCCTGACCCCTGACCTCCCACTCCCAATCCCGCCGCTGTTTACTTTTTACAGGTTGCGGCTGACGTCGCTCGCTGCGCGGTGGTTGGTTTCCCTCCGAGGGGTAGCCCTGTACAGTGGACACCCTTCCCGTGCTCCGCGAACGGTTTTCCATGTTTTAGTTTGCCTTTTACCAATGCAGGTTGGACAATTTGGGCGTGTCGTTCAAATACCGCAGGCCGTGGGTGGCCCAACTCCAGACGGACTACTCACGCAAGCCCAAAAGATCCAAAACTCAGGGACTTGGCAACAGTGCTGGACGTTTTGGGAGACGATAGCTGAAGTTCAAGTTAAATCTATTAGTACTCATTGAAAAAGAGGGATTTTTCTAAATGTATTTTAGTTTTTTTTATCTTAGTTAAATGCTAAATATTGTTAAACTCTGAAATTATGATATTCACAATAGACTTCATCATATAATCTTTATGTTCGACAATTTTGCACTTTTAGAAACATTAATCCCATTATTATTTTCGAGACACAGACTGTTTGAAAGACTATAGCAGCACATTCGAAGTATTTTGTAATATGAAAAATAGTCTTTACTGGTGGGTTAAGTTTAAATATAACTTTAGCCAGAACTTGGCAATTAAAGACATTCCTTTATGAAGGAATTTAACTAAAACTTTCATTACTTTCTTTATTTTGTTTAGACTAAAATCGACCTCATCTCTTAAAACCATTAATACCTTTATTATTTTCGCCATTTCGATTTCCAGAACCCTTGTAGCATTTTCAAATAACCAGAATATAAAAAGTTAATTAAAGTGTGGTACTTTCTTATAAGTCGCATTACTTTCTCCAAAAAAAATCATAGTTTGAGCCAAGTTCTCATCGCTGATCGAACTCCAGACGTTTGCATAGTCCTTTGTTGGGTTGTACAAGTGTTCTTTGCCGGGGACAACTTTATTGGGCCACCGACGCCGCCCCACCGGCCATTAGCAACCGCTGGCAACAACCACCCTTTCGGCAACTCTGTTGTATTCGAACCCTCGAATCGGGGACCCACCCCTGGGCATACAATGCGGCTTATTATTGGCTTTCAGTGTTGGCACGTTCGATTATTTGTGTCTTAATTAGCGTTTGTTGAGATTTGTTGTTGATGTAATAAACTAATAAGCAACGTCGCGCGGTGCTGCCCCACCTGGCTGCAACTTAATTGCAATTCAATTGTCGATATCCCGCACCAAAAGTTTTGTTCAATCTTTTATTGGTTCTGGTCGGCAGTCGGAGAAACCGTCAGAATGCTAATTGGCCGGCATGAGCGAACGAGTTTAATAATAATAATTTGGCTAGCTGATTAGCCGCGGAACTTGGCTCGTTTCCACCTATTCAGGCCCATTCACAGCCATTCAGGCCTTGGCTAATTCGTGTATTTGTGGCTGTCAATCTGTCGATGGATGTGGATTCGGATGGGAAAACTTTCGGCTGCCAATCGCAAGTGCAAGTGTTGGCTTTTCGCCTTCCCGCAATTAGCACTTTATTTTCGGAGCACCATTGTTGGGGTGGGCACTACTTAGCACAAATTGAATCGAATGACACACAGCTATTGACCCCGGGCCTTCCGGCCTCCAGCGAAGGTGCATGTGAGTGTGAGGTGAAAAGGTGTCCCGCTCGAACGGGATGTGTTTTATGGGGCAGTATTAGTTTCGAACCCATTAAGTGCTCAATCAAACGGGAGCTCATTAAACGCAAGAAACGCATTAGAAATTGCGACAATCACCTTTTGATTAGAGCCGCTTGCGGTGCACCACCGTTATGGAAATCGATGGCCACATTATACCATATTAATTGCAATTTTATCTTAAACGCATCCACTGCGCCGAGCGGGTCACCTCGCAATTACACAAATGAGCCCGATCCGCTCGATCCGTTGGTTGTCACCAGATCGTTGACCAGTCGTCGCCGCAGCACGTGTTAAGTGGCGCTTTAACTGCACTTAATTTAGCTGGAATTAGATGCAATTAGCGGCGGACGGGATATGAAAGCTTCCCTGGGTGACCCGTGCCACCGTGGTGGCCAGTGGTCACAGCTTCCTTCCGCTGCAGGTAGAGGAACCTTCCTGTCACCTGCCCAGAACCCAATCAATGCAAATCAAGGCGCAATCTGCTTGGAATTAGCGCGCGACACCAAAGTCAACAATCGGAAGTTGCCACTCATCAAACGCAGGCCCTTTTCCGAAGGCACAGTGGATTGAGGTACTATTACCCTGCATCTTATTTTTAGGGGGGTGAACATCTAATATGGTTGTATACTTTAAACGTGCAGTTAATTTTTCTATATCTTTTTTTGGTTATAACAAAAACAGATAGGAAGCAATCTTTGACTTAAAATTGTGCTAGCTAGGTCGACTTCCCGATATATTTTTTGATCGTTCCTATGGCAGCTATATGATATTATTATCCGTAATTCTGAAATCGGTAAAAATTATATATATCTCGGAGTTTATGGGTATATGTTAAATAACAGCGAAGTTATTTGGTTTCCCTTTTTCCCGACTGTGTCTATGGCATCTATGTTTTGATATGTTTTATTTTTATTAATCCGTATTTCTGATATTGTTAAGAAATACTACTAGATATAGTATCGATACATGTTAAAAAACAACGAAGTTACAATTGTGCCTTTCACTGCGTTGCAAACTATTTAAGAGGCATGCCACTTTAAGATCGTCTTAAATTTGATAATCATGTGAACTCTAGAACTTCAATTGTGGATTGTAGATTATCAAACAATCAAGCTACAAGTCTTAACCTGAAACATAAGATTTATAAAATTCCTCGGCCCAAACCTGATTTTCAATACTTCGTATTCGTATTTTGCATTTATTATTTAAAAATTATGGTAGAACCTATGGTGAACAGCCTCTTTTAGAACAATATCTATCCTAGAACCCACATTTTCCCCATGTCTCGTAGCACTGTGCATTACCTGCCAATTTACATGCGGCGAGGCCACAAAGCAGATAGCTGATATCTCCATTCGCCCATCGAACATCGCCCATCCGGTTTAAGCTGGGCCAAGGGCTTCCTTTGGAGCCACTGCAGCACTTGGTCTCAACGATTTTTAATTAATATTTTAACTAACTATTAATAGCTGCTGCATCCGGGCGCCCTCCTCACTTCTTCATGGCGCCGACGATGAAGCTGCGTACCCGATTGACGCTGGTGTAGACGCCGGGATAGCCTTTTTTGGCGCAGCCCAATCCCCAGGACACAATGCCGCAGAGCTGGTTGTTGAAGATCGCCCCGCCACCCGAGTCGCCGGAGCAGCTGTCCTTGCCCCCGGAGCTGGCGCAGAAGCTGGAGGAGGTCAGGGTGTCCTGGTTCTGGTAGGCCTTCTGGCACTGCTTCTTCCGGATCAGCTTGATGCGCACGGTGCGCAGCTGGTTGGAGGGACTGGAGTTGCCGTAGCGGGTGGTGCCCCAGCCGGAGACGCGCATGTAGTCGCCGGCCTTCCACTGCACCTGGCACAGGGATATAGTGCTGATCCCACTGCCCGTCAGGGCGCTCTGCAGCCGGATGACGGCCACGTCCCAGTTGAGGCTGGAGCTACTGTAGCCGTTCGGCACGAAGTACTTGGCCACGCCCCTCACGACGCCCGTCTGGCTGAGCTTGCTCACTCCGCCCTGGACGGTAATCCGCCCTGCAGACCTGCCACTGACGCAGTGCGCCGCTGTGACCACGTGCCGACTGCTCACCAGGGAGCCGCCGCAGTAGAAGGTTCCGTCGTAGCGCAGGTTCACCATGAAGCCACCCACGGAGGAGAGGGTGGTGGTGGTGCCACCCACGATTCTGGGCTGGATTTGCCCGTTTGCCGAGGTGGAGCTGAGGAGGAGCTGGAAGAGAAGCAAGAGGCGCCACATGGTGGAGGTAACTAAGTTGGCCAGCGGTTCTGTCTGCCGTTTTTATCAGTGAAGGAACTACCATCCGCTGAGCAGGAGGTTCAGCTGTGCAAACAAAATGTGCGGTTGGACTTTCACGGTCGCTTCTCATGACGCAGACTGTAAAAGTACTGGGAGTGGGTCAAATTGGCGGAGACTTCTCGCTTGGTGACAACATGTGGATGGTGACCTTGTGGGGTTCACAAAAATATTTATTTTGCCTTGAATCTAAGTAGATTTTGTGAGAGCTGGGAAATGGTAAGAGTGGATTTTGCTTTTGTTTTTAGATGTGAACTAATTATATGTCAATTAGTGTGCGTTTGGAGGGTGTATATTAACGACGCGAAATTTTGTCTGGCGATTTTTGCCATGAACCAAAACAAATGCCTACATTTTGTGTTTTCAATGGAATCACGGCCGCGATACTGTTGACTTTATAAATTGTATAAATAATTTGGGGAGTCTACTTTAATAGAAACAAAACTTATTGATTACTGATTTGACACACTTTGATCTTCACTAAGTTGTTTTAAAGAAAGAACAAATATATTTCTAGGGAGTTTAAGTCCAGCTATTCTGATAAATAAAGCTACAAAGTGTTACTTTAGAAGTAAATGGTTTGTATTTCCTAGGTAAATCCTCATGAAGATGGCCACATTCCACAGTGCCAGTGAGTTGCAATCCAACCTGTCAGAGCTTTTTATCTTCCATCAGCACCTCCCAATCCATCCGAAAACCGAACTTTAGCCATCTTCTCCTCGTTGTGAGTCATGAACGGGGCGGGATTGGCTGGAGATCTCTGCTGGCGGATAAGAACTTCGTACCCACAGTCGGAGTTAAAGTTGGTGGAGGGGGAATGGGAATGGGAAGGGGCAGTGCCCTTTGGCTTGGTTTTGGCCAAAACAGCGCATTCCAAGGCGCGGAAGGAAAAGCAACTCGGCATGCGGGCAACTTGGATGTGCGAAGGCTACCATATTGGGCTGGGGGATGACTGGATCCAAAGCCTCCTGGCGTCTGGACTTGGCTCTGAGTCTGGGTTCTGGGGACTGGGATCTGGGGTCTTGGGTCTGGGCTACACCTACTGGCGGCCGGCGACCTTATCGCACCCATTAATCTGGCAGGCCGGGAAGAGAAATGAGCAATAACGAACCAAATGAGGCGAGGCAAGATGGCGGATGTCCCCGCTCCTGCTCCTGCACCCGGCACCCTGCTCCTTGCTCCTGCGGCCGGCAATATGGCCGAGGACGCAGCGAAACCTAATGAAAAGCAACCCCGCGAGGGAGCGGTGAGTTAAATATTATGACCGGCTCTGAAAACGCCCGCGAAAGCGGTGTTCCTGCACCACGGCTTGCCCCATACGCAGCCAACAAAACACAAACACGGTGAAACGAGAGAAAAAATATGAATTTTTTACGATCTCAAGTCATGCAAAAAGCGAAACGAATCAGAACGCGGTGCGCATTGGACGTGAGTCGCGAATGCTTCGTGCGGGGCGATGATGGCGGCCATGGTGGGTTAACGTCCTCCCCGACCCCCTCCCCCACCGCACATGCCTTGGCCACGTTTTGGGTTTTGGCCCGGCTTTTGCACTCCTTTTTCTTGTGTGCGCACACCGCCCGAGATAAGAACGTTTTTGTACTTTTTGTGCTTTTTGCGCTTGTTGTAATGCGGCTCGTATTCCGTGATGGCGAACATCATGGAGCAGGGAACCTCGGCGGAAATGTTTGACAGACACGTAATGCCCTCGCCACAGTCATAAATTTTTCTATTCTTTGCATACGTTCTGTGTAGCCCCTCCCCGCTCCCCGCTCCCCGCTCCCAAGCTCTCTATCGCGGTATCGAACGATTTTCCCCGCCCTTTTGGATTCGGAAAAGCGAAGCTGAAGAAACTGACGATGGAATTTTATAATGAACATTCAGTGGGCCTGACATTTTGTGCTGCTAAAGTGCAGTTAAGGAATAATTGTTAGTCTAAAAAACAGCAGCGAAACCCATAACTAAGTCCCCGGAGAGGAGCAGCAGTGGAAATGGAGCAAAAACAAGAGAAACCCCAGTCGTCGTACACAATGGGTTGGACCACCGGGCGAGGGAAAGCGGAGGAAAATCCGACTGCTTGGAAAGGGAAACACTTTAAAACAAAGTGACGAGAAAGGTCGTAACATCCAAGGGGAACAATCATCGCACATTGCCGGAGGAAGGGAGGGGAGAAGGGACCCAACAAAGGCTTAGTCGGTATGCAAAGTACCCACCCACACCCAGGGAAGCAGAAAAGAGTAATATGAGAATTTTTCACAGTGTGTGTCTGCAATTTGAAAAATAGATTGGCATAAAATATTGACACAGCCCCTGTGACATGACGCACTCTTTGGCTTTCTTTTTCTTTCGACTGGGGCAGACAAATTCATACTTTTTCCGGGAGTAATCGATTTTATATTTTGCTGTAATTGTATGCAGCCTGCAAATCAATTACTATTTTTATACATTTAGGATACTAGAGCCTAGAATTCGTAAAGCAACATTTTTCATATAATGTGGTATTATTTTACCTATTTATTTTAACTCTTCACATTGGGGCTTATATCAATGAATAGGATTTAATGTTTATTTAATATATTGGGCTTATAAATTTTAGTTTGTTTTCTCTTAGTATAAACGATGAATTAATTCTTCAGCTAATTCTTGGGAAAGCATTGTGGCCAGTGGAAGTGCTAATGCATATCTCATCACCAGAAGCCTTCACAACTTGTGCGCCAGTAAAGTCAGGCGTAAGAGCTCTAGATGAAATCAAACCAAGCCCAAAAAACCATTGCGACCTGAGTGGGTCTTGCTGAGAGAGAGTGGCTGGCGGGGAAGATGGCTGAAAACACGCATACGCCCCGTTTTGGCTGCAGCAACCACAATGGCAGCCAAACGAGCGGGGCATGTGTGCGAGTGCAGCCTCGAAAACCGCTCCAACTGAGCCGGGCCAAAAAAGAGGGAATCAACAACCAGCGAAACGGGGCAAACTCGGGCACCGACCAACAACCATGACACCAAGGAGTTGGGGGAGTGGGCCAGGGGAGGGGTATGGCATATTCGTGCGCAATTTCGCGTTTGACGAAACATATAATCTTCGCACATTTCTATGGAAATGAACGGATTGGTGAGTGCCTTGCCCGATGCATTGATAGATGCAGGCCCGGATTGATGGATTGATGGATATATGGCTGGTTGGCCAAATTGGATTGGTATTGGTTTTCCAACTGCTCCCCAACAAGAAGACCGGCCGCAAAAAGATGGGAGAAATGAGAAAAAAGCGCAGAAATAGGTGGCATATTTCCTCGGCCGCTGCAGTTTCGCTGCAGTTTCTCCCGCCGGTGCTGCATGCAAATGGCTTTCCCCCCACTCCGCTGCATGGGGCCACACCCTCGAAATCTCCCATTCTGCAAGAGGCAGGCGCCCCAACGTCGCTGTTTTTGATTTTTTCTGTCGTGTTCTACTTACGGAGTGTGTGCACTGGTGTGTGTGCATTTCGTGTGTTTTTCTGCTCTGCGCCTATGCAAATATGCAATTAAGTCGGCCTGGCCCCACTCTTGCCATCGAGCGGCGTGTTTGCTGCCATCTAACATGGCATTCCGTCAGCAAACGGACGAGGAATCGGAATCGGAATCAGAATCAGCACCAGCATCAGAGGCTGAATCAGAATCACAGCCTGAATCCGAGTCCGCTTCAGACAGCTTCACCATCAATACACTCATCTTCGCAAACTTGCCAAAGTTGGCACTGCGAATGGCAGCAGCCGGGTCGGGCAATGGAAGTGGAAGTGGATGTGGGAGGGACGAGCTGATGGCCACCATGCGATTGGCTTAATAGTTGGGTCATGTATGGCGAAGTGTGGACTCTGGCGTTGGAAATAGCAGGGGAGGATAGATAAGAGAACGGCTTGATTATATGGACAGATCAATAGATAAAAATGCCTATAATCTGTCAGCTGAAAATGGCATTGATGGCTGGATGCTTCATTACAATTATTTTTTGGGGCTGAAATAAATAACTCAATTCCTTTGAATTAACCTTAATATTTGGAATGCATATCAAATCTATTTCTAATATTTAGGAGTACAATAAATTTTAAAGTAACCATAAAATAAAATTAAATTACTTACCTTGCAAAGCTTAAACCTAGCTTTGCAGAAAAATTACCTAAGACCTGCACTTCCAAGCTTATAACTTTTCTTACAGACATTCGATTTAAAAAAGGCTTAGTTCTAAATGATTGTGGTTGAATTCTCTAAAAATCTGTGTACTCATCTTGGTTTTCATTTTTGGGTCGATTTTTCATCATTTTTATGAGCTAACCCCTTTCCAAATTTTCGAAAAATGGCTTTGCTGAAAAGATACCTAAAAACCTGCACTTCTAAGCCCATAACTTTTCTTACAGACATCCGATTGTGAAGTGGCATATTTCTAAATAATTGTGGTTTAATTCTTTAAAAATCTCTGTACTCATCTTGGTTTGCATTTTTGGGTCTATTTTTCATCATTTTTATGAGCTAACCCCTTTCCAAATTTTTGAAAAATGGCTTTGCTGAAAAGATACCTAAAAACCTGCACTTCTAAGCCCATAACTTTTCTTACAGACATCCGATTTTGAAGTGGCATATTTCTAAATGATTGTGGTTTAATTCTCTAAAAATCTGTGTACTCATCTTGGTTTTCATTTTTGGGTCGATTTTTCATCATTTTTATGAGCTAACCCCTTTCCAAATTTTCGAAAAATGGCTTTGCTGAAAAAAAACCTAAAAACCTGCACTTCTAAGCCCATAACTTTTCTTACAGACATCCGATTGTGAAGTGGCATATTTCTAAATGATTGTGGTTTAATTCTTTAAAAATCTCTGTACTCATCTTGGTTTGCATTTTTGGGTCGATTTTTCCAAATTTTCGAAAAATGGCTTTGCTGAAAAAAAACCTAAAAACCTGCACTTTTAAGCCCATAACTT